TTTGTGAATTTATACTCTTCGTCTTATTTTTTTCCGCAAGTTCTTTTCAGCAAGGTAACGGAGTGGTCAGTGATGAAGTCCATCAGTAGACAGGGTGCTGATTGGATCCCTCATCCAGCACTCTGTCCTTAATCCACGTGCCAACGCCCTAGATTTCCGGGATTTCAAGAAGAATCAATTCAATCGATATTCTACGGTATTCATAAAGTAGAAGAAGTTTTCAAGCAGCAGGTGAAACATTGCGAAATGTTGGAAGACTTTTGTGGACTATGAATGAGACGAAAACGAATCGATTGCAAAGAAATGCTGGGATCCGTATAGATGTAACCACAAGCTGTGTAATTATTCAATAGTTCTTTTCCACCTTGAGTGGACATTGCTTATGAACTGAGTCCATATTTCTTTTTGTTTTTGAGCTGCCGTATCTTCGCTCATGGTGAACGTTGTTAACTGTAATTTTTCTACTTCTGTTCAGCAAGCACGAGGTCCTATTTTATTTCTTTATTTACGCACAAGCTGACGTTTCGGCGGATTTCGCCTTCCTCAGAGACTGGAAGGGTCAAGTTGACAGCAATCCACTCGGCCAAACACCATAACCAAACAGAGAAAACTCCAAACCAAGATTTCAATCACATTTAGCATAGCTCTGCACACTCGCCGCTTTCTATCAGTCTTCCACTGAGTATATCGCGTGAAGACCGACCACACAGAATTCACATGGAAGCGTAATGTGCCCCTCCCATCGTGCTTGCTGAACAGAAGTAGAAAGATATATTCAATCAATGCCGAGGTTAATAGATAGTCGGACTTGGGAACAGTAGTTTTCATAGGACCGTCGTTTAACCTCGGTATCACCTATATCACCTGTAGTCCCGTTGATCGTCGAGTGACTCGAGGCGGCGCCAGTAAATCTTCCATTTTTCCCTGTCGCGCCCAAGAGTAGCCCAGTGGGTGGGTTCTGCTCGCTCTAGGGACTCGTCGAGCATCATATCTTTCTTCAAAGCTCTTTGTGAAGAACTCTGATCATCGGGTGGGTGGTCTTCCTGCAGTACGTTTGACATCCCGAGGAACCCAGTCACTAACGCCTTTTGTCCATATGTGGTCATTCATAAGCATTAGGTGTTCGGCACACCTTATCTTCGACTGTTTGGGGTACAGAACGTCATCTTTGATTTTGATCGTTGACGCAGATCGGAGCTTCGGATCCCGTGCCTTAGTTATGTGGAACGGGATACTCCTAGCATTGTCCTTTCGACTGCGAGTTCGATAACGCTGGGTGACCTCTCATCCTGCTTACGCAGCGACCATGTTTCTGTCGCATACGTTAGGGCAGGAAATACCGTTGAGTCGAAAAGGTGGGCACAGAGTCGGGTGTTCTTTGTTCTCTTCACTACATCCTCGATGCTCTTGAAAGCTCCACAAGCCGCTCGTTTCCTTCTGCTTAGCTCTGGAGCTAGGTCGTTCATTATATTGATTTCCCTACCTAGGTAGATATAACTGGAGCATTCGGTGATATTCGTCCCGTCGAACGTGAATGGGGCATGCGAAACCAATTCGTTCTTCATTAACATCGTTTTTGTGTGATTTAGTCGAAGTCTAATCTTTCCACAGGGTTTATCAAAGTCGTCAAGCATACGTTCCGCTTTGCTAATGTTTGGTGTTATAAGGACGATCTCATCAGCAAAGCGAAGATGGTATAACTGCCGACCATCGATTTTCACTCCCATATTATCGCATTCCTATGTTCGCATGACGTTCTGGGGTTTTTGACGTCAACGTTAATATCGTTGTAGAAGGCTGTTACCTTGGTTATGAATTTGTTGTACAGCCCGCGAAGAATCTTTATGTACTGAGTAGGGACTTCTTGACTGTCAAGAGCTTCCAAGACTACTTCTATCTCAACTGAATCAAAGGCCTGTAAATCGATGAAAGTGAGACAGAGCGGTCTTGTGTACTCTCACGATACTTCAATGAGCCGTGTTACCGTGTGGGCGTGGTCCATCGTACTAATTTTTTTTTTTTGGAACCCTACCTGCTCATGTGTCTAATCGGCTAATCTTCTTCCAGCGTTCTGCCAACCCTGTTCAGGATAACTCGAGTGAAAAGTTTGTAGACGACAGAAAGCAAGCAGATTGGGCGGTAGTTGCTCATAGTATCACCCTTCTTGAACAATAACACGGTCTTGCTGGTCTTCCACTGATTAGAGACTTTGTATTCAGACAGGAAACGTGTGAAAAGCCGAGCCAGTGAGTTTGCGAGGACTGGCAGAAGGCTTTTCAGGTGTTCTGATCTTATCCTGTCCGGGCCTGGTGCTGTTCGATTTTTCACCGATGAACGGCATGTCGGATTTCGGAAGGGAGAACCGGTGGTACAACATATCCATCCTCCTTTATTTCATATGACGGAAGGTAAACGTGGCTATCGAGGAGATACGAATAGTATTCGCGAATGATTTTCTCCATTGCCTTTCTGGACGCTGTAACTGCTCGGTCTGGGTGTCAGAGAGCAATCATTTTGGTCTTGTAATTGGCGAAGCTTTGGTGGGCTTTGCAAATGCTTTTCCCAGCCTGTGCAGCTGCGGCGATTGCTACTTCTCTTCAAGATCTTCTTTTACCGCCTCTCTGCATTGTTTTGCAAGTTCAGGCGTTAGTTCGCCGTTGCCTGCAGCTCGTGCGATTCCACGCCGGCGTATCAGCTCGAGTGTTTCTGGAGACATACGTCTCCTGGTGAGTTTCGAACTCTCAGCTTTTATAGCGCTGACGTGAAGATGTTGAATGAGACGATCGTATTCTTCGTCGGTGTTATCGACAACGGCATCTTCCCAGCAACCGACTAATGAATTGAATAGGTCCCAGTTTGCGGTTGTTCTGGGACTTCGGTTCGCCTTTCTAATGATAATGTTGTAAGAAGATTCGTAGGAAAAATTTCTTCAAAGGTCATCGACTTTGTCGATGCAAAAGATGACGAATAACCACGAGTGGTACGGTAAACTTAGCGTCGCTCAGTGCCACGCAGTGTCACCTTCATTTCTGCTGTTCTAACTATCATTCTAGTAATTCTTCGTATTTTTGTCGAGCCAACGCGAGGTGTTATTGTTCTTTGTTCACGATTAAGCTGACGTTTCGGCGGATTTCGCCTTCTTCAGAGCCTGGAAAGGTCAAGTTGATAGCAATCTACTCGGCCAGACGCCTCCATAACCAAATAAACTCCAAACCAAGATTTCAATCACATTTAACACAGCTTTGCACACTCACCGCTTTCTATGAGGTTTCCACTAAGGTATGTCACGTAGAGACTAACCGCACAGAAATCACGTGGAAGTATAATGTGCCCCTCACATCAGAATAGCAGTCTTATATACTGCCCTATATCACGCGTGATAATGAGGCATTCTTCCCTGCGGTTCATTTTCGGATTTCTGGAATTAATCCAGGGTGCCTCGAGAGTTCGGCAACGAACCCAGTTAAGCCGAGGCCGCAGTTATAGTCACAATTTTAACTTATTATTTACTGCGTATTCTTTTTAACGACAAGGTATATATTGCGAAATATAACTTCAATGATGCTGAGATATTTGCAAAACTCCAGACCACAGGTGTCTGCGGTGGGGAACGAACGCGCTAGGGCTCCCCAGATCAATCCTGGGTGATTGTTGATGGCAAAAGATCGATAGAACTAGATGAGAGACAGGCAAAACGAAGGACCCGCATGGTGTGGTGAAACGCGTTAGCCCCCGGTAAGGGTAATAGCGCGTTCGTTACCCGCCGCAAGCACCTGCTGTACGGAGTTTTGCAAATGTCTCAGCATCATTGAAAATATCATTCTAGTCTTCTTACCAATGGTCTTCTCTGCGGTACCTCTTCCTCAAGAGAAACAAACTTCTTTAAAAAGCAGTTTTTTTTCACCACTGAAAAGTCCTTCAGTTGACTTTTTGTAGGGGGCTTATTTGTCGGACTGGAAAGGGCTTACAGTCGGAGCAAGGTACATTTAGTATTTTATGCATGAATGGCTCGTTTTTACGAAAAATCATGAAGGTCACATTACAATTTCCACTTGATTGATTGATGCGATTGCTAATTCTCTTGTAGGGGGAAGTTCTCTTTCTGTGGACTCCCAAAATAGGCGTGGTAGGGTTTTTCCAATTAGTCACCACAGGTTGTTTGACCAGCTGTGATTGACTAGACTAGAGTTCTGCTACCTTTGGATTAATTTGCTATCAAAACCGCTGTGATTCATACACCATTAGTTTTCTGCTACCTGATTTCCGGATGGAAATTTCAAATCCGAAATTTTGGAGGAGATCCTCGTTTTTCTCACAGCTGCGCTTTCAGCAGCACTCAGTATGGAAGATGAGAGTGTTTCAGTATCAAACCGTCCGTAGTATTAGGTTTTAGCAAGCACTTATGAGCTCACAATTAAGCCAGGATTTTAAGCCAGGAGCCAGCCACTACCTGGCATTTAACGGTCTGTGGCTTATTCAGTAAATGGTTAGTGTATCTAGTATAACTTCAGCGTTCTATTTATGGTCGTTCATTACGCTGTAAGGGAATAGAGGCATTTATTTTCGTGTTCTGCAGAGATTTGAGGTGCACCTACAACCGTAAAAGCTCTATCCAGTTTGCGTGAGTCATTGTTTTGAAATCTTTGGCAAAGAACCTGTGAATAATGGCGTTATTTTCGTTCCAATGTTTAGCTCTTACTCATCAGACTACATTTCATACTACTATTTGTCGCAGAATCGTATCTAGGTAGCAGTACCCTTGTTCAATCGTGTTCATTTCCTTACATCAACCGTCAATTTGTTGATCTCGAAATAGGCACTCTGTGAAATGTATTTCTATTCCTACGAACTACTCTCGTTTAGCTCATCGGAGTTGGTATAACTTGTCGTTGTTGTTGGTTGTTGTTGTTGTTGTTCGACGGCTCTTTTGTGTTTCAGTTATTTCCCCTTATCGTTGGTTGCCTGACTTATGGTACCACATATTTTTCTCTAATTTTAGAATGGCAGAAAATAGCGGACGAGCGTTAGCGTTAGCGATCTGTATATTGATGGTAATTACTGGCTCGTTGAATACAATATTTGCGAAGTGGACAGATACTTTGAAGGCCGAAGGCGTTGCTTTTAATCACCCAATTCTACAGGTAACCATCACTATCAAAGCAACAGAACTAGTGAAATTACTTCCAAGGAGCGCATGTAGCACAGTGGTTGGAGGCGTCCTGCAGTACACATTGCATCGATTCCTGCTTCCGTGACCCACAAAGCTTTCCATCCTTCCAGGGTCATCAATTTGATACCAGACTGTTCTCGGAGCATAGCAGCACTGGCTCGATGCATCGGTAGGCCACCGCGAGTCATTATAAAAGCCAGATATGCTTCCAGTCACCTCCAAACGTTGCTTAATTAATTTCAAATACATGGCGCATCCACCAGGCATTGATCAATGCGTATATTGTCTGTTTACGAAGTAGTTTTTAAACGATATTTTCTAGGCATTATGCATGTTTTTTGGAGAATTCTTATGTTTGGTTACGTTTTTCGCAATCTACGGCTATAAAAAATATTGGTGGAACAGATCCAACATTTCTGGTTTGATTTCCTTTTATTCTGTTTTTTTTTATTATTTATTATTATTCTTAATATGATCGGTTGGTATTGTTATACTTCCTGCTCACTTTCTTGGTGTCAAAATTTTCAGTAAATATCAGAAGTTCGACTCTTTTGTTTTAGGTGAACTAGGTTCGGTGGCTAATATTACGTCGGACTCTGAACCTATCCTACCACAGTTTAATCCCTTCATCTTCCTCTTCCCTGCATGTTGCGATATCCTTGCTACGTCAGTTATGTATGTTGGGCTTAACCTTACTGCAGCAAGTAGTTTTCAGATGTTAAGAGGTAAATCTTCATGGTTTCCATGGTTTTTTATCTCCTCTTAGTTCTTCGTATAGTTGTAATTGGTGGAGAGAGGATGTTGTTAACAGAATGGTATAGTCCGATCACTTGCACTTCAACTGATATATGTATTCAGGGTCTGTAATCGTATTCACCGGTCTACTGTCAGTGGGAATGCTAGGTATACGTATCCAGGGTTTCAAATGGATAGGAATGACTTTCGTAATTCTTGGACTTGTTGTTGTTGGAGTGACCGATACACTCTATCACGATAATCCTGTTGATGATAAGAACGCCATAATCACAGGTATATTCGTGTAATCTTTTCCAAGATCTTAAGTCCTACAGTCTATTCATTTTTAGGCTGCTTGGGAACATACATGTATGTGCCCATCTACACAGGTGCATACATATATATATATATATATATATATATATATATACCTATATACATGTATAGATATGTATGAACACAAATATATGTTGTTTTACCTTTTTATTTTTTGCCTACTATAATTTCACAGCAGGGTACTAAGCGAAATACAACCACAACGTTGCTGAGATATCTGCAAAACTCTGGACCGCAGGTGTCTATGGTGGGAACGAACGCGCTATTGTCCTTTCCGGGGAGTAACGCGTTCACCACCACACCATGCGGGTCCTTCGTTTCGCTTGTCTCTCAGCTATTTCTATCGATCTTTGCCGCAGCA